TGGCTTCCTTCTTTATTCTTTGTTCTCTCATATTTTTCTGTTTTTCTCTGTTCTTTGTGCTGTATACTGCTTTGTAGAGTTTACATATCCCAACAATTTTTTTCAGGAAATATAGGAATTACATTGTGGCTACATTTTGGTTTTCAAGTAAATGTTTTGAACAAATACAAAACAAACAGTGAAAAGCAGCATGTTTTTCATATCCCTTACATGATTAAACATTTTACATACTACAAGTGAAAAACAAATTATCCCAAGAACCCACATACATTCATAAACAAGCAATTTGTCATAGATTAATTTTGTGGGCAAGAAGAATGTTCTTGTCAGGTCTTTTACCAGCAGGCTGCATTTTGCAGTTGCAAAGAAAGGTCCAATTACTTTATTACTTATCTTGAAAGGCAATCTTATAAGGAATCTTAAAGGAATCATAAAGCCAAAATTTTATATATCAAAGAGAATTAGTCAACTCTACTTTAAATCTTTAGTGTATACACCCACTTGTTAATAATTTTTTTATATCAGGAGATTGAGGGCAGAAATGGGTAAAAAAATTTAGTCATCACCTTTGGTCATCAACCAATCCTAGAAAGAAAGATACATAAGCTAAGTATAATTAGGCTGCTTTGTTCTTGATCCCTGACCTTAACAAGTTCTGAATTAAACTATGTGCCTTTCTAAAACTTCACATTATCTTCTTGAGTTTTTCACTTGAAAGCTATTTAACAAAAACATCATAGTCAAACTTTGCTATTTTCAAAATTTATGTCAGCTGTTATGCACTCCAAAACCTGTGGTGAATACATATCCCAATGTTAAGGTTAAAAGAATTAAAACTAGCTGGGCTCCTGGGATTCAATTGTTACTTACTAACTTGAGAAACAATCTATACAACTCCTTGGGTGAAACTCACAGGCCCTCGCTGTGAGACATATGCTTGTATTTATCATTATTCATCACAACGCTGTATAGGCTATCATTATTATTATCAATTTACACAGTATGGCTTAGGGAAGGGGTCATTTTCTTGACAATTCGCTGATAAAAATGCCCAGTAGAACATAATGTTTCCAAGAGATAAACACACTACATTACCGGCAGTGGAGCTCTTCCTACATCCACTCATACCATGATAGGTAGCAGAGAAAAAAGCTGCAACAAACATGTAAAGGCACAACAGAACCAAAAGACCATATAGGGCCTTCGGCCCCCTGGCATTGCCTAAACAAGATTGGTCCATTAGAGTGTTTTCTCCTGACGGGAAGACACCTGGAATTTCAATTGGCACCCTCTGATCCTCTGGAATGTCTATCAGCAGAAAACCATGTCAGTAGAACTGGCATTATGTAAGTGGAAACAAGAGGCATTTGGGATACTTCTTCATGTAGCCTTCAGGATCTATTCAACCCTGGTGTCTTAAATAAAACTTGTATTTGATAACAGATTGCTGCTGTGCACACCCTACTTTAAGACTTCTTGGCTCTGATAACACCAAGCTCAGAGTAGGCAGTTCGGGTTGCATAGTACCTTTGTGGACAATTTTACAGTTTCTACTAAGACTCAACAGCAGGCCAAGAGCTGTCTTTCAAAGGGAGAATGGTTGTCTGCAGATAATTGCGTATGTTTGCTCAAAAATCCCAAAGGCTCTTTCTTTCTTAGAGGTTCTATTACAATGAAGAGACACCAAGACCACAGCACCTCTTATAAAGTTAAACCATTTAATTTCCATGGGTCATTTATATTTTCAGAGGTTCAGTCAATTATCATTATGGCAAGGAGTATGGGGGCATGCAGGCAGACATTGTACTGCAGAAGTGACTGAAAGTATTACATTGACTGAGCTGGTGGGCAGCATGCTGAGCATAGAAAACCTAAAAGCCTGTCCAAAAAGTAACACACGTTCTTGAACAACAACACCCACTATAACAAATCTATACGTCCTAATAATGCCAAGAGATTATGGAGACCAATTACATTCAATCTACCACAGTAGGTATAGGTGTTTCATAGAGGTAATATGAATAAAATATATAATACTGGTTGTATGAATAATGTTTTTCCATCTAATCAGAATCCATAGGAAATATTGTAGAAGCCTTTCTTTTGGGCCATGAACCAACTCCAAAATCATGACATGGAAAATTATTAACTATGAGTGCTTCAGGGGGTCTTGATCAGTCCCATGCTGGATACCCAGTCATCAGTCTGGGATACAAGAGCTAACTCTTGTCAGGTCAGCTGTTTCTGGGGGGTTAAACCAGCCCAGTCTTAACCCCTTTGCTCATCAGCCCTCCCTCTCTGTCACTGGATTCCAAGAGTTCAACTCAGTGTTTAGCTGTGGGAGTCTGCCTCTGCTTCCATCAGCCACTGAATGAAGGTTCTGTTTCCAGACTCTCTGGTCATGGGATTGAAGGCTGGCACTCCCCAGATCTACGTCTAAAATCCATATATGAGAGAAGTTATACCATGTTTCTCTTTTTGTGACTGGGTCACCTCACTCAGGATGGTTTCTTCTAGTGCTATCTATTTGTCTGCAAATTTCAGGATTCCTTTTTTTTCTACTGAATAGTACTCCATTGTGTAAATATACCACATTTCTCTATCCCCTCTTCAGTTGAGGGGCTTCGAGGTTGCTTCCAAGTTCTGGCTATTACAAATAATGCTGCTATGAACATAGTGGAACAGATGTCCTGGTTGTATGAATATGAGTTTTTTGGATATGTGCCTAAGAGTGGAGTTGCTGGGTCTTGTGGTAAATTTATCCCATTTTTCTGAGGAATCTCCATACTGATTTCCAAAGTGGCTGTATGTAAAGAGAAGCCTTCCCACCAGACTGATTCCAGAGCCGCATGAGTCCCAAATAAACACACAGGAGGCTATATTAATTATGAAGCTGTTGGCCTTGCTTGCTTCTTACTGGCTAGCTCTGACTAAAGTATTTATCCCATAATTGTTAATCTAAGTATTTCTCTTACCAGAGAACTTTCCGGGCTTCTTATCCCTATGGCAGTTAAATCTTGACTCCCTGTGTTTCTCCTACCCAGAGTCCTCCTCAACATCTAGTCCCACCTAACTTGCTCCCTATTGGCCGACAGTGCTTTATTGACATATACACAGGACTTCCCCAACAGCTGTACGAGTTGGCACTCCCACCAGCAGTGGAGGAATGTTCCCCTTTCACCACAACCTCTCCAGCCTAAATTGACATTCTGACAGGAGAAAGATGGTATCTCAGAGTTGTTTTGATTTGCATTTCCCGGATGGCTAAGGATGTTGAGCACTTTCTCAAGTGTCTCACAGCCATTTTAGACTCCTCTATTGAGAATTCTCTATTTAGTTCTGTAGCCCACTTTTTAATTGGATCCTTTGGTATTTTGGAGACTTGCTTCTTGAGTTCTTTGTAAATTTTGGAGATCAGCCTTCTGTCAAATGTGGGGTTAGTGAATATCTTTCGCATTCTGTGGGCTGTCTTTTTGTCTTGCTGACTGTGTCCTTTGCCTTACAGAAGCTTCTCAGTTTAAGGAGGTCCCATTTATTAATTGTTGACCTCATTGTCTGTGCTACTGCTGTTATGTTCAGGAAGCTGTCTGCTGTACCAATTCATTGAAGGGTACCACACACTTTCTCTTCTAAGATGTTCAATGTGGCTCAATTTATGTTGAGGTCTTTGATCCATTTGGATTTAACTTTTGTACATGGCAATATACATGGATCTATCCACATTCTTCTACATGCCAGCCTCCAGTTATGCCAGCACCTTTTGTTAAAGATGCTTTCTTTTTTCCATTGTATATTTTTAGCTTCCTTGTCGAAGATCAGATGTTCATACATGTATGTGTTAATATCAGGGTGTTCAGTTCGATTCCATTGGTCTGTCTATTTTTGTGCCAATAGTAAACTGTTTACAGGACTCCAATTCTATAATAGAGCTTGAGGTCAGGGATGGTGATGCCTCCAGATGTTGCTTTGTTGAGTAAGGTTGTTTTGCCAATCCTGGGTCTTTTGTTTTTTCCATACAAAATTGATTATTGTTCTTTCTAAGTCTGTGAAGAATTGTGCTGGTATTTTAATGGGGATTGTATTGAATCTGTAGATTGCTTTTGGCAGGATTGCCATTTTTATTACATTGATCCTACTTATCCAAGAGCATGGGAGATCTTTCTATTTTCTGAGGGCTTCTTTAATTTCTTTAAAGACTCAAAGTTCTTGTGATACAGGTCTTTCACTTGTTTGGTTAGCGTTACCCCAAGGTATTTTATGTTGTTTGTGCCAATTATAAAGGGTGATGTTTCTCTGAATTCTTTCTCTGCCCTTTTATCGTCTGTATATAGTAGGGCTACTGATTTTCTTGAGTTGATCTTGTAGCCTGCCACTTTGCTGAAGGTGTTAATCAGCTGTAAGAGTTCCCTGGAAAAGTTCTTTGGGTCATTTATGTAAACTATCATATCAACTGCAAGTAGTGAAAGTTTGACCTCTTCCTTTCCAATTTGTATCCCCTTGATCTCCTTTTGTTGTCGTATGGCTCTAGCTAGAACTTCAAGTACAATATTGAAAAGGTGAACAGCCTTGTCTTGTTCCTGATCTTAGCAGAATCGCGTTTAGTTTCTGTCCATTTAGTTTGATGCTGGCTGTTGTTTTGCTGTATATAGCGTTTATTATGTTTAGGTATGTTCCTGTTATCCCAGATCTCTCCAAGACCTTTATCATGAAGGGGTGTTGAATTTTGACAAAGGATTTTTCTGCATCTAGTGAGATGATCATGTGATTTTTGTTTTGCAGCTTGTTTATATGGTGGATTACATTGATGGATTTTCGTATGTTGAACCATCCCTGCATCCCTGATGAATGATTGTTTTGATGTGTTCTTGGATCCTATTTGCCAGTATTTTATTGAGTATTTTTGAATCCATTTTCTATTTCTTAGTGGTGTCTTTGTGTGGCTTGGAGACCAAGGTTATTGAAGCCTCTTAGAAAGTGTTTGGCAAAGACCCTTCTGCGTCTATTGCATGGAATACTTTGAGAAGAATTAGTATAAGCTGCTCTTTGAATTTCTGTTAGATTTCTGCACTGAGGCCAGCTTCACCTGGGCTTTTTTGTGGTTGGGATAATTTTGATGACTGCTTCTATTTCCATAGGAATTATAGGTCTATTTAAATTGCTTATATGTTCTTGATTTAATTTTGGCAAGTGATAGCTATACAGAAAATTGTCCATTCCCTTAAAGTTTTTTAATTTTGCTGGAAAAGCAAAAGAAAAAATGATATAACTCATGTCAAAATTCTGGCAGGCTAAATAAAAAGAAAAGCCAATGTTTGAGCTCCAATGTGAAGGCAGGAAAATGCTGATGTCTAACTTGAAAATGTCAGGCAGAAGATATTCTTTCTTATTCTTGGTAGAGTCAAAAATTCTGTTTTCCTCTGGTCTCCTAATGACTGAACAGAACCCACTTTTGTTAATGAGGACAATACATTGTAATTAGTTTGTCAATCCAAATGTCAACCTTATTCAAGAACACTAGCCACATAATCCTAGAACAATATTTGATAAAATATGAGAGCACCCCATGACACAGACAAGATGAACTACTAAATTAATGATCACATTGGTTACAAACCATTAAAATAGTGATTTGCTATAACTAATCCTCTAAAATAACACTCTTGGGCCTACAAGGAAACGTTGTTATAAATTTGAAACTGCCAACCAATAGATAATTTAAAATATGATTCCATAGTGCCTCGTTAGCACAGTAGGTAATGTGTCAGTCTCATAAAATATAATTCCATTAGATACGTAAAACGTTAAGAGTCTGACATTAAATATTTTCCTTCAAGAATTTGTACAACTCAAGTATTCAATATAGTCACAGGAGTGGTATAAATAGTAGAGTAGCATAGGTAACATAATCCTTAAGCATTGCATCTAGGAGTCAGTATTGAACTGAACAAAAAAAAAGATAATGGTGAGAAAAATAGTAGCTTCACTCATTTCCCTCTCCTTAGTGCAGCATTACTTAAGGAACCCACAAAGTGAGTGTCATCTAAAATATCGCAATCACAATCTCTGTGATTGAATCAAAGAAAAAATGGTCTTTTGAATGGGAATTCACATAGAACCCAACCAGGTTTGGGTCCATTTCATTTTATTTCTTCCCCATTAGGAAGCAAATAAGTAAGTAGAAACTTATTTTCAGGGGGAAAGGCATATCGTAAACAAAATAATAGAAAGTAGGCAGACAAATATAATATGATGTAAAGTGAAATATCTAAAAAGAGAATTATTTCATGAAAATGAAAAGTAATTAGGTAAAAATGATTTCCAGAAGTTCACTAATTCATCATTTCTTTGAAATCCAACTATGAAAAGTATACTGGTGAAGCATTAAAGATTCCATTTCCATGTCTAATGAGTGCTCATTTTCCATAACTGCTAAATTTGTATATTCTGTACTTTCTCTATATCTAAAATTTGTATGCATTGGACAACTAAACCTATATCTGCATTATACCAGTATTCAAAGAAGAGTGTGTATTATACAGACTTGGTTTTAATGTATGTTATTAATCAGAACAAATAGTTTTAAAATACTAAAGCTTTCATTTCATGAAATGACAGACTATGGACACCCCCATTGAGGGCCTCACCCTCCCTGGGGAAATGAGGGGATATTAGGGGGGGTTGTGGGAGGGCACGGGAGATGGGGAGGGAAATGGAGATGGACCTGGAATTGACATGTGAAGCAACCTTGTTTCTAATTTAAATTTAAATTTAAAAATAAAAAAGAATATCATAAAAATACTAAAGAAAATGGAAGACTCTAAAAAAGTACATAGCTGGTTCACTTTTGCCCACACTCAGGGCAGAGGCCAGATCTGAGTTCTGGGTCCATATCTGAGACCCAAATCCCTCCTGCTCGCCCTCTCTTGGATGCCCTGACCTGGGGTCTGCAGCCAGGTAGACTTACCCCTGGACTGATGACCAAGCTACCAGGAGCCTGTGGAGAGAGCTGGTTCACTTCCAGCCACACTCAGGGCAGAGGCCAGAGGTAAGCTCTGGGTCCCCATCTTAGACCCGAATCCCTCCAGCTTGCCCTCTCTCAAATCCCCTGATCTGGAGACTGTAGCCAGTTTGACTCAACCCCAGAATGAGGAACAAGCTATCAGGAGCCTGCAGAGAGAGCTGGTCCACTCCTGCCTGCACTCAGGACAGAGGTCAAAGGACAGAAAGCAGAGAGCAGAGAGCAGAGGCCAGAGAGTATTGGATTTGCTTGCACCCCCTGAAACTGAACCCTGGTTGCCTGCCTACCAAGAGAAGAAAAGGCTCTTTCTACACCCACTGGAAGAAGTGATGGGAAAGACGCAATATAAAAACACACTCAGCAACTGAAAAACAAGTATGACAGCACCAGAGTCTAGAGATTCTACAACAGGAAGAACTGAACACCCCAGTGCAGATGAAGCAGAAGGGAATGGCCTTAAAAACAGCTCCGTAGCCGGGCGGTGGTGGCACACGCCTTTAATCCCAGCACTCGGGAAGCAGAGGAAGGCGGATCTCTGTGAGTTCGAGGCCAGGCTGGACTGACAGCCTCCAAAACAATACAGAGAAACCCTCTCTTGTAAAAAACAAAAACAAAACAAAACAAAACAAAACAAAACAGCTCCGTGAAAATGATAGAGGCCCTCAAAGAGGATGTGAGAAAATCCCGTAAAGAAATGGAAGACAAAACAAACCAAAAATTCCAACAAATGCAAGAAATGGAGGAAAACACGAAGCAAAAATTACAATAAACAATTCAAACAGTACAAGGGCTGAGAGCTGACATGGAGACAATAAAAAAACACAGTCTGAAGGAATTCTGGAAATAGAAAAACTGGGGAAATGATCAGGTACTACTGATGCATGTATAACCAACAGAATACAAGCGTTTGAAGAGAGAATCTCAGGTGTTGAAAACACACAAGGAGAAATAGATTTATCAAGCAAAGAAAATCTAAAGTACAACAAATCCCTAACACAAAAATTCCAGGAAATACGGGACACTGTGAAACGACCAAACCTAAGAATAATAGGTATAGAAGAAGGTGAAGAAACACAGTTCAAAGGGGCAGAAAACATATTCAACAAAATCATAGAAGAAAACTTTCCCAACATAAAGGAAAGATACAAGAAGGTTACAGAACACTAAGTAGAGTCAACCAAAATGTCCGCTTGCCACATAATACTCAAGACCACAAGCATACAAAATAAGTCAAGAATACTTAGAGCAGCTAAGAAAAAATGTCAAATAATATACAAAGTCAAACCTATCAGTATTACACCTGACTTCTACATGGAAACTCTGAAAGCCACTCGGTCCTGGGGATATTCTATCAACACTAAGAGACCATGGATGCCATCCCAAACTACCAAACACAGCAAACATTTCAATCAATATAGATGGAGAAAAAAAGATATTCCATGACAAAACCAGATTTAAACAATACATATCCACTAACCCTGCCCTATAGAAAGTTCTAGAAGGAAAACTCCAATCCAAGGAAGTTAGCTACAATGAGACAAACATAGGTAATAGATAATCCCACTTTACCAACAGCCAAAAGAGAAAAGGGGAGGAAATCCACACACAATTCCACCACCATCAACCATTCTAAAACAAACATGGATGAGCAATCAAAGGTCATTAATATTCCTCAATATTAATGGACTTAACTTGCCCATAAAAAGACACAGGCTAACAGAATGGATTCGAAGACAGAATCCATCCTTCTGCTTCATACAAGAAACACACCTCAGATTCAAAGACAGATTTTACCTCAGAGTTAAGGGTTGGGAAAAGATTTTCCAATCAAATGGACCCAAGAAACAAGCGGGGTAGGAATCCTAACAAATTAGACTTTAAACTGAAATCACTCAAAAGAGATGAAGAAGGTCATTTCATATTCATCACAGGAGAAATCCACCAAGATGAAGTCTTGATTCTGAACATTTATGCCCCAAATACAAAGGCATCCACATTTGTAAAAGAGACATTATTAAAACTCAAACCACAAACAGCTGACTTGACAAGAGTTAGCTCTTGAATCCCAGACTGAAGACTGGGAATACAGCATGGGACTGATCAAGACCCCCTGAGGCCGGGTGGTGTTGGCGCAGGCCTTTAATCCTAGCACTCGGGAGGCAGAGGCAGGCGGATCTCTGTGAGTTCGAGGCCAGGCTGGACTGACAGCCTCCAAAACAATACAGAGAAACCGTGTCTTATAAAACCAAAAAAAGACCCCCTGAATGTGGGTTTCAGTGAGGAGGCCTAGGTAATCTATTGAGCCTTGGGTAGTAGATCAGTATTTATCCCGGGTATTCAAATGGACTTTGGGCACCCATTCAACAATGAGAGATGCACTCTCACCCTGGACTCTTGGGGGAGGATCTAGGCCCTGCCCTGGATTAAATGACAGACTATGGACTCCCCGATGGAGGGCCTCAACCTCTCTGGGGAAATGAGGGTATATTGGAGGGTTGGTGGGAGAGCGCTGGAGGAGGGGAGGAAAAGGGAGAGGGACCTGGAATTGATATGTGAAGCAACCTTGTTTCTAATTTTTCTTTGCATTTTGTTTATATCATTTATTACATTGATAGATTTTTCATGTTGAACCATCCCTGCATCCCTGGGATGAAGCCCATTTGATCATGGTGTATGATTTCTCTGATGTGTTCTTGGATTCGATTTGATAGTATTTTCTTGAGTATTTTTATGTCAATGTTCATGAGGGATAGTGGTCTGTAGTTCTCTTTCTTAGTTGTGTATTTCTGTGGCTTGGGTACCAAGGTAATTGTAGCCTATTAAAGAGTGTTTGGCAATGACCCTTCTTCTTCAATTGTGTCAGACTTAGGGATTTGCAAGGGTGGAGAGCCTACCTTACATACCCTTCCCTGATAATAAGATTTATGACTACATTTTATGACATCCTAGAACCTTTATCTAGGAGCTGATAGAAACATAAACAGACACCCATAGCTAAACACTTTCCTGAACTCCTGGATTACAGTCTAGGGAAGGAGGTGTGATGGGGAAAGTGCTTAAGACCAGGTTGGGGAAATCCCCAGAAACAGCTGTCCTGAACAGGGGATAGCACACAGACCCCAGACGGACAGTTGGGATACCAGTATATGACTGAGCCAGACCCCTGAACTTGGGTGTGAGTTAGGAGGCCTAGGCAATATTTGAGGCCTCTGGCAGTGGATCAGTATTTATCGCTAGTATACAGATGGACTTTGGGAGCCCATTCCACATGGAGGGATACTCTCTCAGCCTAGATACATGGGGAAGGGCCTAGACCCTGCTCCAAATGATATAATAGACTTTGAAGATCCCCCATGGAAGGCCTCACCCTTACTGGGGAGCAGAAAAGGGATGGGATAGGTCACTAGTGGGGAC